CCTGTCACGTCTCAATTCCCCACCAGTGGGTCGCGCCACACACTTTGAGAACCGCGGGTTTAGCTACAAAATACATTACAGACCTATCAGTGTATCAACCAGCCAGACCTCTCAGGTCTTTGGCTGAAGCTTTCTCTCCATACCCAGAACCAAACACGGAGCTTCAGCCTTTAGTTCTTATGCTCCACTAAACTGGAACAAACCCACAGAGAGTAACACACTTTATATGGTTCTGTTTGTGGATGTAAACACTCAAAAAGCTCCCTTAGTTATCACCTATATAGCGCCAATTCTGTAATGCTGCACGGCAGGGCAGCGTCAACCCCTAAACAGAAAATGACAAATGCGCAAAGAAGTTGAAGATGTGAAGAGGACGGCATTTTTCAAAACATTTCTAAGATGATAGAAAAAGACATGGTACCACTTGGCATGGTTTGGACTCTTGTGATTTAATGCACTTCATAGGCCAAAGTTTCCACCATAACCACCTGTTTAGAAGCATGGATAAGAGCACAGAGTGAAGCTCCCACGACAGAATGTTGTTTTGACAGTAAGTAACAGTGACAGTATGTCAGAGATACACTGTCTGATACACTGTCTAAATTATAGTTTTACATCTTTGTTTATGGGGGATTATGAGTATTTTACATTTTTTAGAATTTTCTTTTGGTAGCCTATCTCTGTTTTGTTGCCTTCTATTGATATGTCTAACAATGTATAAGAAAACCAGTTTTTTTGTTATTTAGTCAGTATTTAACACAACAAGCATTATAAATTGTGTCTCTTGATACAAGAGAATATTCAGGTTTTTAAGAAAATGGAAACTTGTCAATTAAGTGTTAGTCGGGCAATAATATAAGTCAACTTTAGATTAACTTAACAGATAACTTGCATTCCCCCCTCAGCATCATAGAAAAATTGTGGTTTTTGAAAATAGTATGAGTGCTACAAGCAAAACTGCGGACGCTGAAGGGGTGGCGAGGCCCCGGAATGCATCAAACTAAAGGGCAGATAAGACTTCTGCAACCGCAAACATCAAATGTTGCTTGCATCTAGTCGCGAATCAGTTTTGCTGGTATGCTTCTTCACCATCCGTCTGGAATTTCTAGGGACGCACAGCAGTTTCCCGCCAAAGCGCAAGGGGGAGCCTATTCGAGAACCTGCGAGAACTTCGGCGGATGGTCACGAGAACTTTAATTTGGCAGAGACCTTGACATTTTTATACAATTTGTATGAGGCATCGTACAAGTGGTTGTACTTCCGAACCTCCTCCATTAACCTTTCGTCGTAGTTGTCCATTGTAGTTGTCGCTCGGTTTTTAGAAATGGCGCGCATCGGCACCGAAACGAGAAGGACTGCCACACAGACAGCCGGAAAGGCATACCAAGGACCAATCATAGCTGCTTTTCATCTGCGCACTTCAGCTTGAGGTCTGCGCGGGTTTGCGACCGCCCGACGCGTAGTCAGGATTTTTTTGAGGTGTGTGACGATGGTTGCAGAACCTCTGCACGGGGGTGCGTGGTCGAGCACAGAGACAGATTTGACGATTGCAAAGGCTATGCGTCAGAAGTATAAATTCCCATTAATCTGCATGGCTTTTGTCCCAAAAGGAAGCTTCTTCAGAAGATTAACCACAAGAAATTCTGAAAACAGGGTAAAACGAGTTTTCTGATGAGACCAAGAAAGACCTATGGTTTGGAGCACATTGGTAGAAAATGAGTAAAGTTTAAAAAATAAAGGGAACTACTGCCAAACATGGTGAGAATTTGATGGTTTGGGGGCAGCATGAGTGTTTTTGCCTCAGTCCACTGAAGGAGCCATGAATCACAATATGCATTGTGACATACTGAAACAGAGCATGAATCCCCTCCCTTTTCAGAAACTGAGCTACAAGGCAGTACTCCCACATAATGACCCCAAACACACTTCCAAGAGGACCACCATCTTGCTAAAGAAACTGGGGGTAAAGGTACTAAATTTGCCAAGTGTGTCTCCAGACTTCAACCCGCATTTAAATGAAAGGTGGAGGAGCACATGTCATCATGGAGGACTCCACTAGCAACCTGTCAGGCTCTAGTGAACCCCATGCTCCAGACAGATGAGGCAGAAAATAATGGTGACCACACTATATCAACACTTTGAGCACAATTGCGAGATTTTCTGTCTTTATAAACTGTATCAAGGTGTCACATCCTAAATGTTTTCCATTGAAAACATAATAAAAACTGACAATAAGATGATGATGTGCTCAGCTTTGTGAAGTGTATCAGAGACACAACGCAGCTTTAAAATGTATCTTACTAGCGGATACATTTTCACCCAAATACTTGCTTTTCGTTCGGTTTTGTTACAAATAGAGTATTTATATCTGGAACAATATGAATTACAAAGTACTAATATAACCATTCGGTACTTTCTAAACGCAGGATGTTGATATGGATGACTTTAATATATATTAGGAACGATAAAGCTTAACAAACCAGGCCAGGAATGAAATAAAAACTTTTTACATCCAATCAAGGCCTTGATCTTTGCGGTTAGCTGATGTTAACTGACTCCCAACTTGTTGCTAGCAATCTTTTTCAGCTAGCGATAAACATTGCTGTAAGATTCAAATACACATGCCAATATACAGCAGCTCTAATCGACTTACTGGGACCAAAGTTGTATATATTTAACAATAAACCAACCATAGTAACATTAATTCGACTGTACACTTACCCTAGTGGAAAGGCAGACGTGAAGCTATTAGCCGTCTGCTAACTTCCAAGGCCAGCAGCGAAGCCTGGACCAGAGAGCTTCCCAGCAGCGCAGAAATACCGTTTTCTGTGGTCACTCACCGAATAATTTACAGTCTCAGTCCTTGTAGAAATATGAAGGATCCCATGTCCCACGTCACTCGCCAGCTTACTACAGCTGGCCGAGGCTAGCACCGCTTAGCCTAGCCGGAGTTGTCTCACTCCTCCTGGGGAACTTCAATTGTTTATCTCGTCTATCTTCCAAATTAAGCTAATGCTACTAACACCGGGCTTGTTCAAAGGCTCCCCCGGTAGCTCGAACATCTTTTGCTTACAAGCCTCCTCTCATGCTCAGAGAGTGCGTGTACATAGAACTACATAACTGGATTACTATTAGAATTTTTATTATTATTTTGGATAGGAGGTTCGGACTGTAATAGAGAGCTAGCTACTTCGTCTACGACCGCTCCGGGCTATCCCGAGATCCGACTGAGTCAACAAACCTGCCTCTCCCACCATACTGCATGCTGCGTTTGGGGGCGGTAGGAAATCTAAAAGAATCCGGTTGGATGAGTCCAAACATCAAAGCATCACCGCCTTAAGCAGGGGTCTTCAACGTTTAGACCAGTGACCCCAAACTAGTGGCGAGTTGAAGCGGGGACCCCCTAATTATTTATATATATATATATATATATATATATATATATATATA